GAAATGGTATAGGGTTTCCTGCCTAGGCAGGGGGTTGGACTAGAAGACCTCCAAGGTCCCTTCCAACTCTGCTATTGTATTGTATTGTATTATTGAAATTTGCAGTTGAATGAGGAACAGTTTTATTCTATCTTTTCAGTTTGCTGCCTTTCTATTTCCTTTCATATCTTCAAGATGTAATAGGCTGGCACAGCATTGTTTCTTATTTTCTAAAAATGCTTTTGTCACATCATTAAAAATAGGTAACATGATAGGGAAAGGAAGATACTGTATTTTTAAACTGCCATGTTAGCTAGGGAAATATGCTAGTAGTAAAGTGAAATGTGGGTTACCTTCTCTCATTGGATAACCAATTTATGGTTACTGGTGATGTTGACAGGAATATAAACCTAGAAGAGTACCAGTTCTTTTAAAATATTGCCGGGATTTGCAACTGTAATGCTAGAACAGCTTCTTTTATGGCTTATGCTGCCTCAAAGTAGTCGAAAGCATAGATTTCTTTCTTTTCCTACATTTTATTTTGCTAAATTAAATTTTGAAATATTAGGATATACATTTTGAGCTTCACGTTCTCTTTGGATGTAAGGTACTCCAGATAATGACAGTACAATTGATGAGACCTACTTCTTGGCAGTTGCAATTATGGTTAAATTAGAACTGCCCAAGCCTTCTAAAATAAGTTCTTGAACAATTCATTACTAAAATGTAATTTACTTCTGAGTATATTAACTAAGGTTTGCATGAAGGTCTGGTGTAATGGGTTATACTGGATGTAAAATTCAACAGAATACAGAAAATGAAGTATTTTGACAAAATACAATATGGTATATTCTGAATTATTCTGGGGCTCCTAGAGTATATGCTGATATAATTTATCATGGAGTAAGTGTATTCTGTGCTATTTGTGGGGAATGGTTGTATGTTATTAAAATGTTCTACCTGTCACATTTTTGAACTATGCAACGTTGCATTTTACATAAATATGGAAAGAGTCTTTTCTGGTTAAGTGTATTTATTTAGCATATGGCAAATACATGGACTTATAGTAGTTAGAGAGCCATGAGTTCTACTGAGGTGACTGGCTGCTCAACTGTAGATAACTGCCAATTCTTCAGTGTAGCCTGGCTGCCACTTGTTACTACTCATTTGGTTCACACTACCGTGCTATCCAGGGTTCACTACGAGGCGAATTAACATCACACACCCACCACACCCATCTGGTTAAGTATTTGTCATAGAAACGTGATAAACATTATGGGTGGATCAGGAAGACTTTTTAGCAAACTATTGTGTATGTTCGTTATAGGATATTTGCTAAATTTGTCTAGTATGAAATGTCAATCCAAGCCCATAAGAGATAGAAAATTTGGATGAATATTATATCCAATTACAAAACATTGTGGAAAATAACTGAGTGAATATTTGTTGCAGATAATATCACAAGTTCTCAGATTTTCCCCATTTCCCAAACAGAGTTGCAAATTTTGAAAGTAGCCATGGTTCTTTTTAGCATCTTATTTCTCTTTTGTCTGTTAGAATTTGCTTGCAGTATCAGGTAAATTTTAATTAACCTGTTAAATAGAAACACTATTCATTGTTTTCCATGAAAAAAAAGCAACATCATTTAATCAAGGAGGAGAAACAGTTGGTAATCTTGGGAAATTCTCAGTGTGGAAAATCCAGAATACCCTTGCTGATTTTATTTATTTATTTGGTGTTATGTGTTTAATCCATTAGATCTCTTAAGTCATTGCCCTGTGGTAAATATCTTTAGTGTTCATCGTTTTTAACCCCTAGAATTGTTTTTTGTATCACAATATTTGGTAGTTGTTTTGTTTCTTACAAAAGATAATTACATTTCTCCAAGAATGAACAAAGCCTCCAAATACCTGTTCATTTACATGCAAAGATTACACAACAAATGGTACGCGTTGCACGTGTATCTTTGTTCCCCACCAAACTAAGAGGACTGCTGTTTTACAAACAAAGTATATTCTTACTTTCTATACTTGCGTAAGAGTGGAAGGCATTATCTTGAGAGGAAGGTCATCAATCTGGAAATTAATATACAGTGGGACATGTTTCTTGTTTTTAGTAGTGTGAGTATATCACATTGATTTCCTTTTACCATTTATCCTTTGTGGGATATTGAACCCAAGGAATATGACTGAACGAAAGAGGAAGCCCAAGTTCTCCAGGGAAGAACTGGACATTCTGGTCACTGAAGTGACTCGGAACGAAGCCAGGCTGTTTGGAAGGGACACAATACGTCTATCTCATGCAGAACAGGGACAAGATCTGGGAAGTTATAGCCAGAAAAATCACATCAGTGAGCCATGTTCCCAGGTTTGTAAAAGATATTAAGCACAGATGGGACGACATGAAAAGAAGGACCAAAGACAAACTGGCATTCATGCGGAGGTCCATCTCCAGTCCCAGCAGCCCGGGGAGGCCCTCGGCCATTGTCCTGACCGCCCACGAGAGAGCCATCAAGTCGATGCTGCATTCGTCACGCCAGATGCACGGCTTCCGGAGAGCGGATCTGGACGTGGTTGACAGCCCATCAACCAGTTGTAAGTATTATCTCTTGTCTGTTCCCTGCTATACA